GCATATTGCATTATGCATATTTTGTTTATAACCCAACAATTTCAAACTAAATTGGTAGCTGAGCATTATGACACTTCACAGCGGGTTAACCAGACGTGAAGTGGAAGAGAAAAACACTCCCTTTTCATTTCAGCCATGTCAGTCAGTCGAGCTGTTCACAGCAGGCGTGGAGTGGAATGAACCTTTAGGCGTAATGAACCTGAGACACTTCATCATTGCAAAAGGACGCATAAAGCTGTAGTCAATGCTAGGCCTACTGGTAAATTATATGACTGTTTGTGAGCAAGTGCTGTCCTGAATTGTCAAGGAAACATTTTTTTTTCTGCTGATGAAGGCCACAAGAAGTCAATGACGTCAAAATATAAAAAGATAGGCAATATGAAGGCTCTTCAAAACTAAAGCCAAAACCTATCTATTGCCCCCTGGTGGCTGACTGCAGTATAGGTCATAAAGCCATGTTAACAGATGGCTTCATTTTTGTACAGTGAGAGTATATTTGTTATTATGTCACTGAAGGTTTCTGAGTATGTCAAATGTACTACTAATAGTGATAGCAGAAGTTTGAAATAGAAGTTATTCAAATTGTAGTTTGACTGGAGATAGAAGTATTTTAGGGAGTGGTGTGCAGTAATACAGTTTTGTGATGCTGCATCAACTGCTGCAAGTTAACATTGAAACTAACACAGTTTTAACATCTTAAGACTACACATATAAACCTAGTAAGACACAATACATGCTACTGACAAATCTGTTGAAATTTCCAAAGAAACAGAATACTGTGAATAGCAACATACCAGCAAGAGTACATGTCACCTTCAAATTAAAAGTTTAAAATCAGTCACTATATATATCCACAGTGAGGGGGAAGTGTTCCTGTGTCTGGTTGCCTTCACCGCTCAGACTGGATAAACATGAATGAAAGCAGTTGTGTGTGTGACTCAGGATGAATCTGTCTTCTTACCATCATCACCATAAACATATACAGTACATGACTCTGGCAGGATGTACTGTATACCTATCTATCTAGTTTATAAGACACCACTTGTTCCACTGGAAGCTATCATACACAGTGTGCGCCTGTGTGTGGACGTGTCACACTTAAGGGAAATGAATGTCTAGTTGTATTATTAACACAACCAGCTCTAGTGTATACATGGCTCCCAGGAAAACAGTAAAAACAGGTTATCTGTGAAACTCGTGAAAACAAGCATTATGGGAGATAATGAGACAGCAGAGTAGATCTGATCAACACTGCCATCAGGTGGCCAAAGCTAAACTCACTTTGTATAATCTGAGGCAGCACTGTACGTTGTTTTGGCTCACGTCTTGTGATCAGGTCAGGTTCCAGTCTGCCAAAATATGTCAGAATCTTGAAGGAATTTTCATTGCCATCTGGAAGACACATCACTGTATGAACTCTAAAACCTGAGAAGGCTGTCAAACAAACCTGACTGAAGATAGCTGTGCAGGGCAGTAAAAGGGAACAGACACCTGTTCTACTGCAGCGTGCTCTGTAAGAGTGGGCCTACAGTGCAAAGAATCCTGTTAGGCAACATACTGAATCATTCAAACTCTATTTGGCAAATTATAGAACATGTTCACTTAATTCAATATACGTCAAAATAATTGCAATATGATTTTTTCTTTACCATATTGGGCAGCTGTACTCTGATTCCTCTGTTTATTGATTACATGTAACACCGAGTACACCACAGCACAAGACTGGAGTCTGTGTGTGCAAAACCAAGAAGGCTTTAACACAGAGACTATAAGGTCAAAAACATGTTCTCCAAATAATTCAAATGTAAAGTAATAGTGTTCATTTATTTTTGAACACTAGGGGGCAGTGGAACACACTGTAATCACAATATTGACAACATCATCATATAAAGTTGAAATGGCTACGTACTAGAGTTCTTCCAGAGCTGAAAATGAATGCTGATGGCTGTGTCTGCTGGATGGGTCAACATGCAACTGCTTGCTAACAAGTTAGCTGCATCAGCTTTATATGGTCATAATATGCCATATGTTGTGTTTACAACTTATCTTCCATGTAGTTTTATTGCATTTGTGTCTATGCATTTCAATGAAAAATACAAGGCAAATTCTCTTTTTATATTACTTTTTTATTCTACTACAACAACTGCTAACACTGATAAGAACAGTCATTTTTGAGTTCAAATTAAAAAACTCTTTTCTTGAGATTGCACGGAGGTCAAACGGACAGAGCAGCCATCTTCTTTGCTCTGCGAGCTGCTCCAGACTTCCTCTTACCTTTAGCCTTGAGGAGGGGTTTATGGGATAAATTTTTACCTCCCCTGTTCCTGGCATTGGACCGCTGCCTGGAGGAGCAAAAACAAAGACAGACACGCAGATGCAGAAGAACAAGTTAAGACGTGCAAATAGTCTCATTGGTGCAGTAATGAGTGAAAAGACTGAACCCATCACAGGCAGTGTTCTGTGGACTCACCCGCTGACCCTGTGTGTGTCTTTGAGAGGACAGGCTTTGCGTTTGTGCTTCAGGCTGCCGCAGTTGAAGCAGCCCTCCGTCTCTTGAGCAGGCCCACATGGGTGGTCTGGGAGGGCACAGCGGCCACAGGACTGGCAGTGTCTCCAGGCTTAGGGAGGAAAATTAAATAAATTTACCCACAGACAAAAAGGTAAAGTAGATATGTGATGACTTGCAGTAGCTGTGTATCATGTACATCCTACTACTGAGTCTGATGAGATTGTACGTTTACATACATGGTTTCACACATTTCCCACATGTTGAGCAGTGCCTCCACTCTCGGCCGTCCTGGAGACACACAGAGAAAACAAAGAAGTTGTAACGCGTGCCTTTATAAGCAACATATAATGTGTGCAGTTGTAGTTTTATACCTTGGATGGGCAGACGTTGCATTTGGCACAGTGCTTGTTGAGGGACCAGACGAATCTCTGACATACGGAGCAAAATCTAACAGAGGAAGAGAGGATACAGGACCTTTAACACAGATTCAAAATCATTTGTATAAAGTGCACGTCTCTTACAGCTGGGTATCTAACTACAGTTATTTAAGGGCCACTTGAAATTTGTCCCTAATATGGTGTATTGAAAACTGCTGGTTACAGGAACGCTCTGTGAGATTGTTTATAAATTCTGAGGGAGTGCGACATGTTGAACAGTCATGTTTCTACAGTAGCCCAGAACGGACCAATCAAACAGTGCTCAGTTCAGTTGCCATCTGAAACTTCAGAGACAGAGTCTTGATACCTGTAGCCCTCCTCTTTGGGCAGGACAACGTCTTTGGGTGAAATATTAGTGAAGAGTCTGACAGGAGACTGCTTCCTGCCCGTCTTCCCGTGTTTATACAGAGGATGGTTGTCATAGTCCACCTGGTTGGAAACAAATCAAATGTTTACTTTATTGTTTATAGCCCTTTATAAAGAAGCACAGACAGAAAATCACTGCTGGATTTGGTTGTGTTGGTCTATTTATTATTATTATTTTTTTTTTTTAACCTTTATTTAACCAGGAGAAGCCTCATTGAGATTAAAAATCTCTTTTACAAGAGAGTCCTGGCCAAGACAGGCAGCAGCACAGTTCCACAGTTACAGAAAATCATTTAAAAACAACAGAGAACATATAAATAGAGTCACAGTCAGAACATCATCAAACAATGAGTCACTGTGCTGCAGCTCCAGGGCAGCTTTGCCTCTGCATATTTATTTCATGGCTGTGTGTCAGTTTGTTGTGCAAGTGAAACATGCACATTATATTAACTGTAAACTTCAGAGCAAGATAGGCTTTTGTCCGATAGTACTGTCTGTACCAGTATACCTGGTAGTCCAGCATGGTAAATGAGGGGAGACACTCCAGGATGCGAGGTTCAAAGAAATATGGGAAGATCCACATCATGGGCATGTCAGCGTTGCTGCTGTCTGTACACAAAGACACATGTTAGCTTCAAACACTGGAGCTGGGGCTCTTAATCTAAAACACACTTAAAGTAGAAGAACCATTCCTACATTATGGCATTTGTTTCTAGGAGAGGTTAAATCTGTAGAGTGACAGGAAGGGGGCAGCTCTTCCAGGGGAGCTACCAGTGCCACACATCTTTATTGTATTGGTTTTTCAGTCTCAGTAAAACAGTTCAGAAAAAGTCACAGTGGAGCATTTAGTAGCTAAAGAGCCAGATATTTTTCTAAGGTATGACTCCAAATGATTGCTAATTGTGTCTGCTGGATGAGTAAATTAGTAACTGTTTTCTATCCCAGTATTAACATTACTATGATAATATGTCAATTGTGTGTTTACAGCCTGCTAGATAAAGATTCTGATTAGACTTTTTAAAGACTTTTAAAGACCCTGCAGACACCCTGCTTATAAAGCTGCCTTACTGCAAAAAGAACTTCCTCTTGTGGAACATCACAGAGTAGAACTAAATATATCCGGGAAATTAACTGTTGAAAAAATATGAAATATGTAAAAGAATAAAACCTAAACCTCCACTGTGACACTGACCAGAACTCTGCAGCTTCCTCCACGTCTTTGAGATCAGAGAGAAACTGTTAGCCAGTGGTTTCACTAGGCCACCGAACGGAGGGTCCGCCACCATCACCACCTTCTCCCCGTCACTCTCTGTGAGGAAGGCCTGCAGGACTGCACTGGACGCCTGGCGAGAGATTAAAGCTTTAATACACCGAACTGGACACAAACACAGGAAGCACAAGAGTTTTAATCCTTACCTCTCCGCCAAAAAAGTGATGGTTGAACATGTTGTAGTGACAGAATTCATCCTGGCTGTAGAACTGAGCGTATCTGAAACATTATGAAAATAAATTGTTTAAGATTCAATATTCAGACAACTTTCAAATGCAACTGATTGTTATTTGTCTAATAACAGCAGGCGAGGCGAAAAGAGCAAGTTTGAACTTATCTACTGTACATAAACACTGTTAGCACACACACAGGATCCTGAGATGTGTATCCAGGTAACGATAAGGTGTCTGAGTGCTGCAGGCTGAAGCTTGTAACGTGGGAACACACCCTCTCTGCACTTCTACCCTGCACATTCTTTACTTACACAAACGGCAGAGACACAGCGCAGACACACCTCGGGTAAGAACTGCTAAACCAACATGGTTTAATGCTAAAAGAATACAATTTAGACTATCTGAATATGCATTATGACTATGCTGCTGAGACAGCCTGTACAGGTATAAATGTTGATTCCACAGTAAACATGACAAAAACTTCTTATATTGCTAAGATATTTTGAGGCTGTATATATGCCAAAGGTGACCATTTAACATACAGAAAACTGTGAAAATACGTCAGTGCTTTTGTTTTTAGTAAATGTGTAGAAAGAATGAGACCATGTCCTAGACAGGATTTTGACAAAAAGCTTGGCATGGACCCCAAACAGACAGGTTTTCACAGACTTTCCAAAAACCTGAAGATCCAGTTTCTCTACAGCTAAAGCAAATAAAATAAAATAAAAATGCTCTGGATGGTCCAAAAAGGAGAAAACATCTCAGATAGAGGGATAATGTATTTGTTCTGTTCAGTCCTCAGAAATGGCAGAAAAAGCAGCACTGTCTGTTGATAATGGACAGCCAACAGCAGCTCAGTCAGCACAGAGTGGTCTTGCGGCACCCTCTGCAGGCGCACACAGTGCACTGCAGGACAGACTGAGCTTCACTCCGCTGGACTCCACCAGCGACAGGGTTGTTCAGCCCTTCCCTCGCTCTCCAAAACTACAGAGGAAGAGAGCCAACGCTGCACCGCCGTCCCAGGTAGGACACGAGTGTGGTCAGAAAGGATGTGCTGCTTTAAGTATTTCATGTAAGGACGTGATCAGTCAGGCCAATGAGGTTCACATCAACTGGAGCCAGAGCACACTTCCATACAGTACGCTACATTAGATAAAGTCACATTGACCTTAAGCAAACTATGGTGGATGTTTTGCACTATTTAAGACATCACATTGTGCAAATGATGAATAACTGAATAACAATAACCTGCAGATGAATTGGTAATGAATAACCATTCATTTCAGCCCTGTTAACTACCCAGTGTCTAAACCCACAGCTCTGTACAGTCTGTGGAGTTTATGTAGTGGATGGGGTTTCTGTATTTGCTGTGTATTACTTTTATATTCTCTATGCATTGTGAAAGCGATGAAGATACTCTTTATTTCCATGTGTTATGTCTATTTACACTATTTTTATAAATTTGTGAAATGACACGGTTAGTCGATTAATTAATTAAGACAATCGACAGAATTATTCAGCAACAATTTTAATAATCCAATAAGTCATAAGTCATTTTGGGGGACCAACTTATATAACATTTGCTAGTTCCAGCTTCTCAAATGTGAGGATTTGAGGTTTTTCTTCCTCTTACATGACAGTCAACTGAACTTGAACTTGAATCACTTTGGGTTGTGGGAAAGTAAAATGGTATTTTCTTTTTTTTCCTGACATTGAGAGAAATAAAATAGTCAGCAGATTAATTGCTAAAAAAAAAATTGTTGGAAGCAGCCATAGTCAATCGCAAGGAAGATTTTCAACAGTTTTTATAACCGATGAATTGTAATGTCAGTTATCATGCTAACATTTCAAATAAATAAATGCAATGTCCTCCCTTTCTAGGATTTTCTAACATTTTTCTGTTTTATATCTATAACTGAATATCTTTGGGCTGTTGGTCGGACAAAACAACACATTTGAACTTGGGCTCAGGGAATTGTGATGGACCTTTCCCGCTGTTACTGACATTAGCAAAAAAATAATAGTTATGGGGAAAAAAATCATTAACTGCAGTCTACGAGGTTAAGTTTAAAATGAATGATTTTATGCACACACTCTGCAGGAGCAGCTGTCCAGACGTATGGAGGAGCTGCAGGCGGAGAGATCCATGACTGAGGCTCACATCCAGTCTCTGAAGAAACGCAAGGCAGACCTCGCTGTAAGTACGAGACCAGTAGTCCTACCTCTCAGGCCGCACTCAGTTCATCCAACTCCAATCCTTCAGTTCCCACCCGTCCCCCGTTACCACTGGCGTGCCCCAGGGCTCTGTCCTGGGGCCCCTTCTCTTCATCATCTACCTCCTTCCCCTTGGCAATATCTTCCGTAAATATAACATCCACTTTCATTGCTACGCGGATGACACCCAGCTCTACCTCTCCAGCAAACCAAATTCCACTCTCCCACCTTCCTCCCTCACCGACTGCTTCACCGAGCTCAAATCCTGGTTCTCCTCCAACTTCCTTTTCAAACTCAACAGTGATAAAACCGAATTTCTTTTTATTGGCACTAAATCAACCCTCTCAAAAGCTGACAGTTTTTCCCTCACCATCGACCACTCCTCTGTCTCCCCTTCCCCCCCAGGTTAAGAGTCTGGGTGTCATCCTCGACAGCACATTATCTTTCCAATCCCATATCAATAACATCACCCGGTCTGCATATTTCCACCTACGCAATATTAATCGACTCCGCCCCTCCCTTTCTCCCCACTCCACTGCCATCCTTGTACACAGCCTTGTCACCTTCCACATCGACTACTGCAACTCCCTTCTCTTCGGTCTACCTCACAAATACCTCCATAAACTTCAACTGGTTCAGAACTCTGCAGCTCGAATTATCACCAGAACCCCCTCCATCCACCACATCACCCCTGTTCTACAGCAACTCCACTGGCTCCTGGTAAAACTCCGCATTGACTTCAAAATCCTCCTATTCACGTTCAAGGCCATCCACAACCTCTCCCCTCCTTATCTGTCCGAACTCCTCCACATCGCCAACCCTTCCCGTTCCCTCAGATCTGCCTCCTCTGTCCACCTCTCTGTCCCTCCCGCCCGCCTCGTCACCATGGGGAGCAGGGCTTTCAGCCGCTCTGCCCCCCAACTCTGGAACTCACTCCCACCGGACCTCAGGAACCTGGACTCTCTCACACTCTTCAAATCAAGATTAAAAACTCACCTATTCAGAACTGCCTACCCCACTTAACCATCTATTTTTTTATCTTTTTGCTGTTTTTTTTTTTTTTTTTTTTAGGGTGTCCTCGAGTGCCCAGAGAGGCGCCTCTAATAATTTAATGTATTATTATTATTATTATTATTATTATTAGTAGCTCTCAATACTTAAACATCCCCTCCTGACATGTATACACTAGTCTGCTTGGAACAATAATGTGTTTAAAGTTTTAAAAGTATAAATTACACATTAAAATCCTTAGAAAGTCATCTACTCCTATTAGCAACCACTTTTTCAAACATAAAAATATAGGAACAGCAAAATGTGCGCCCCAAAACAAATGCATGTATTAGACACACAGAGACACAGAGACAGACACAGAGACACAGACACAGAGACAAGACACAGACACAGAGACACAGACACAGAGACACAGACACAGAGACACACACACTTTGGTGTGTATTTGACGTCTGGCCCTCATGCTCTCCATGTTCCTCCCTGAAGGGGAGCACAGAGGTGATGAAGCAGCAGGTTCGAGAGCGCTTCGAGAACATGCGGCATGTCCTGAAGCAGGACGAGCAGGCCGTCCTGGACTCTCTGGAGCTGGACCTGAGACAGACCAGGACCAGGCTGGACCAGCTTTTGAAGAACTGGAAACACCACCAAGACCAGGTCACTAAGAACATCAGCAGCACCCAGGGAGCGCTGAGCAAGAGCCCCGAGACCGAGGCAGACGGGAAGGTCTGATTCAAGAGCCGCACAGTACCGCGCTTTATACACATACTAAAGTGAAGGGATTTCCTGTGTTTTAATCAGTGTTTCTGTTTGTCTCTCAGCTCAAGGGCCAGTCTGACAACGTGAGGTAAAACAGTGCACCATTAGATAGAACACTCTGTACAACCCTGCTTCACCCCTCTGTCTCATTAGAATCTCTGTGATCTTTCAGCCATAAGAAGCCGGACGTCTCTGAGCAGGAAATCCGACTGAATGAACAGAGATTTGAAAAGCTCCTGACAACATTATCCTCCATCTCCAAACAGCTGAGAGCTCAGCTGCAGAGGAAGACCCTACTGTTAGGTACTGAGGCCATCATTTCTACATTATACAAATTCCTTATAGCAGAGAACGCATTCAGGGCACTTAGGTAAATTAAGCTTTAGCTTTGGAGGTACAGGGATAAAGCTTTATAGATGCAAGAACCAAATGTAGTATGGAAAACCTGTAAATCCAATACTGCCATTAAACATTCTCACTGTTATGCAACACTGGCTGCAATGACAGGTTCCCTTCAACTTAAATGAGCCAAATACCACAATGTGACATGCGACAGGTGTAAATGCAGTCAGGGTTCGACAGTAATGGTTGCCAATGGCAACCATTCAGAGAAATTAGCCACCACTTTTTAAACAAAAAAATAATAGGAACAGCAAAATGTCCACCCCAAAACAAATGCATGTATTAGGGATATTTAAATATATCTGTTAGAGTTGGAACTGGAACCAAACACAAAGGAGGACACATTTTCCCTATAAAGCAGATGTATAACTGCATTGCATCCTAATTAGTGAAAAGGTTTTCGGCAACCAAAAGCTCAGGCCTGGTTGCCAGCCTGGTTGATGCATAGCCACAGGTCAAAATGTCATCAATAAATATGGATCCACTGTTTCATTTCAGATTCATCCCCCATGGTGATTGACAGGCAGACTTGCCATAGCCAGATCACAGTGACCTCAGCGGGGCGGGGCATGTCCTTCTCAGGCTCTGCCGGTCCAGCCCCCGAGCATCCTCTTCAGTTTGATAAGGTGTGCTGCGCTCTGGGCTGCTCTCCTGTCACAGCTGGCCAGAGTTACTGGGAGGTAGACGTCCACTGCTGCTCTACCTGGGCCGTGGGCGTGGCATACGCCAGCCTGGAGAGGAAGGGCCGGGACAAGTGTGCTAAACTGGGCCGAAACAGGAACTCGTGGTGCGTGGAACTTCGTAACGGCCACCTTTCCGCTTGGCACAACGACCGGCACGTAGCGTGCCAGGGCGTGGGGAAGATGCCGCTGGGGAAGGTCGGAGTGTGGGTGAATTATGACAAGGGCCAGCTGATGTTTTACAACGCAGACACCATGGTGGTCCTGCAGAGGTTCTCTGCAGCCATGACGCCGGTGTTTGACAGGGCTCATCATCAGTTCACTGAGCCCCTGTACCCCGCCATACGCTTCCTGAAACCACCAGAGAACCAGATGTGGCCAAATCACCTGGAGCTCTGTCATCTCATCTCCAACACTCTGTGATACTGCTTTCATACTCCACACAGTGATGTGGACTGAATGTGTGTGGTCTCTCTTCCATCCATGTACATATACACACCATTAAATCAGAGCAGCTGTACAGTAGAATACATCACGGTGCAGATTGACAAATGACACAAACCAACCTGAAGTCAATGTCCAGCAGCAGACTCTTCATTGGCTCATGTTTCTGCTCCAGGTTTCGCACCTTGATCAGCTCCTGGAGTCTGGCACAAACAATGAGTACTGTTAATTTAATAAAACTGATCCCAGTCATTCAACCATTTTGTTACCAAGACCAATGAAAAAACTGTTTTTTTTGTTGCCTTTTAGTTCTGCTCGTTTTGGTGGTGAGTAATGATGGGCAGGTGGTCAAATTGGGTTGCTACATTTTCAATCTTCTAAAGGGTTAGGGAAGTTGTAGTGGGGTTGTATTAGGTATTTATCTGTAGTCAGTCTGTTACCTACAGCAACGTAGGGCCTACTGCTGTGGACGGGAGCAACAGAATATATTTTAGCAACTTAAAAAAAGGCCCCAAAAAATAAAATAAAATCAATATTGGTTTAATACACTAATGAGTTCCTGCTCTACCGCTGCCTTGATAGGTTAGTTAATGCGTTGGTTTGGACCAGAGCTAACCTTTTATAACACCAAAGTCACACTTACAACCCCACTTCACAAAAGTCAAACTAAGGCTTTAATCAAGTCGGCCAAAATCATAATACTCTATTTTCTTTTCCTTTCATGTTCTGAGACCATGGTTGTTGTAAACAATCATAATCATAATTGAACAGGCCATTTTTCCTTGACAGCTATCCCCATTATCAGCAGACTGCATAAATGCATTAGTTGGCTTTTAAATTGTTGCCAATGTATCAGACTGTACTGTATTTGCTACCAGGATATGCAGTTTCATATAGAGTGTTGATAAAACTTGACGATAACCAACTTTATGGCTACATGGTTCTGGTGGTAAGAGAGAAGATGGAGGTGATTTGGGTGAACTGACCCGCTATAATTTAAACAAATGTTCTAGTATTTGCAACATCAAATTCAAATATGTCTCTCACCTGGGGGTGCCCACACACAGGACCTTCCTGTATCCCAGAGCAGCCAGGGTGTCCAGCAGAAAGTGGGAGCTGCGGTCGGTGAACAGGTACTGGGCGTTGCTCTTCTTGTTGTCCAGAGGACGCAGCAGCATGCTGGGCCTCCTCAGCTGAGCCACGGTGACTGCCGTGGATCTGTGAGAGGAGTGGGCCTCGCGCTCGCCTGGCAGGAGCAGAATCTGACAATCCTGACAGAACTTCTTCTCATCCAGCGGGAGGGAGGAGAACTTTCTGAACCTGATGGATGAATTATAGACCTTTCAGAAAGTGCTGATTAACATGCTCACTTTTCAAATGGGGGTTCTGAATTTGGTCATTTGACATGGCAAACATTTAAAGGGGAATTTGGGTATTTTTCAACCTGGACCATATTTTCCTCCATAGGTTTTTGTGTCTACGTAACTCCTTTCCCTGTATTTTCGCATCTAAATCAGTGAATTAAGGGATTATTTCACCCAAACGAAAGTTGGTCATTGTTGGAACAGTGGAAAGAGAAACCATGGGTCTGTTGAATTTTATTTTGTTTCTGTTGAGTTTGAATAAAGTCTTTTGTTGTTACGAGGTAAAATTACAGTTTTTCTAAATAGAGTTTGGTGGCTTTGAATCCTCTCCATAATGCTGTCAGGTAAAATAACAATCTGAGACGTACAGATTACCCTACATGCCGAAATTACGCTTTAAATCCTGTAAAAAGTCGTCTTACAGTAAATCAGGCTCAAAGTTGTGAATAGAGACAATTACAGCAAACCATATAAATAATCTCTCTGGTCTTGCATTAGAAAATGCAGAAAGCTTTTTATGGCAGAATCTGTGATTGAAATGTCCATGTTGTAGAAGACAACCCTGCAGGACTGTGACACACACACACACACACACACACACACACACACACACACACACACACTATTATGTCCTGGATCATAACCCACAAGCCCCCTTTTTTGGTGGCCCCCACAGGCTGCAGCTGACTCCTTACCTGTTACAGTACTCCTGCTGGGTAAACGGAGGTCTCTTCGACTGATTCTCTGATTCTCTGGCCAAAAGCCTGGCCTCCGACACCTTCAACGCAAATCAATTCAGATGAAAGCAAGCTCAATAAAGTATGTAATAAAGTAGTAAGATGTGCTACTATAAGTGAAAACAGACCTTTTTCACAGCAGCCATGAAATAGCAGAGTGAACACAGGTGTTACTGTTGACACCATCCATTCACACTAAATGGAACAGAGCCTTAAATAACACCATTAAGCCCAGTGTACCTACTATTTCATGTCTAAAGGGCTGCTGTGTTGAAGGTCTGTTAAGAATCCAGCGGGCCTACCTTTTCATCTTCCCACTGGAAGAACTTGCAGTCTTTTCTGTCTCTGCAGGCTGAGCAGGCGTAGAACCTCCTGCCTGTCTCACCTCCTTTAATAACCTTCTCAAAGAGCAAGGCTGGACCTGGAGAAACACACGTGACATTGTCGTTATTCGGTTAATCGCCATGGTTTCATTTATAACAAATTATATTAATAATATTTTACTGCTATACGAGCACTTTTGTGTTATATTCATGAGCCGAATTTATTAATATACATCACTCATTCGTATAATATCATACTGTTCAAAGTGTGTCCATATACACATATATAAACACAAAGCAACTTTAAGAGTTAGAGCATTTCGTAACGCAGTTTGGTGTTGACTGTCTAGCCTGGTTGTCCAGTACATTTAAACTTACCATGAGGACAACATGGCGCCGGTTTGTCGCCGTCTGGAACAATAACCTCTATTCCAAAACTGTCGTCGTGAGCCTCGGTCATATCCCTGCCGTTAACGTCACACACTTACCGAACTTCACTCTAAAGTTTCTAACACGAGACTGCAGCCTGACAAATGGAAGCCATGCTGTTTCCAGTCGCGGACATTTGCCGTCATGTTGTCGCAGTTAAAGCCCATTGGCTATAAATCCCAACGGAGGCGGAGTCTGGGTTGTATGATTAATATGATTATTCTTTTCAAACAAACTGCGCATTATCTTGTATTTGGGAGGAATGATTATAATTTAATTATTGGCTTTAATGTAACTATAGTTGTTTTTGTGGATTTCATCATTTGAATGGATAAACTTCACACACGTCTTCTTCTATAAATACATTTGTTGATAGAAGTAGATGTGTAAATAGATTTTTCAAGATAGTGAGAGAAGAGAGAAATAAGAAATAGGCCCAAAGCTGAGCTCCATCCTCTGAGGAAGACCATGAGATGTGGTTAAAAGGTCCTGAAAGAGCGAGGCTGTAGTAAGTGAACCTTAAGGTAGAAGATGTTTGTCAAAATATTGTAATTTGTTAATTTAATTACTTTTTAACATATCCTTCATTCTGTAAATATTTCTACAATTATAGTTACATATATGTTTATATTTCATCTCAGTTATACAGTTATATATGTAATGATATATTTTAGATATATAATTAAATATATAAGTATTACTGTAATAAATGCATAAAGGTTGATACATTTCAATAAAAAAGAAAAATAACATACTTTGCTGCAATGTCATCTTATTCCTGTTGATTTAAATCTCAAAACAGAAATCACTGTATCACTAATAGAAAGTATCCAATTGATAAACTGCTTCAAATCAAAGAAAACAATAGTGATGGAGCTGATGTAGTTCTGTATTATATTATTTTTCAGAGAAGATGTGTTTTGCAGTGATCTCCTATTCGGTCTCTTTGTCTGCCTGCTCCTCAGTTATTCCCAAAGATAAAAAACAACTCCTCTCTGGTCCAGTTAATTGTATTACAACACCCAAAGAGGATTTTTTATTGTTGACACAAACTGATTTTATAATGCATTTGGAGTTCTGTCAGTTCTCGTTCACAATGCAGTTGGTTTACACTGAACAGGATTGTAGTCCAGAAGCTGCAGCACGCTGCTCATTAGAATGGGTGTTTTCTTTCTTGCGTACTACAGTTCCCATGTATGCCGCGGCCCCAGCGCAGGGGCGCTGTCAGCCCGAGGATGCTCAGCAGCAGTCTGCTGGATGCTGAAGCAAAGCAGGGACAAGATGCCCTCTGTTAGCTGCGAGACAGGAAGTGTGGGGTTGTTTCCTTCAAAGTAAAACGCATAATGGCTGCGATGAAGTTGTATAACGTATAACATGTAAATCTCTCTCTTAAATTTGGCTTCCAAATATTTTTGCCAATAATTATCAGATTTAGTCTAATGCACAGACATTGCCATGGATACCTACCTGATGTATACATTGCTTGTACCAGTATCTGTATCTGTATTCACTATTTGTGCATCTCTGTAAATCAAAGCATGGATATACTTTTTCCATATGGTTATATAATCATATATGTGTATATTCTATATCTGCTGTAAAAATAACTTTGGAGGCTGGATAACCAACCAGGCAAAGCCTGGCACCCAAAATATCCAGTTTTACAGAATTGTTTGGGTAATTTGATGAATTTTTAATTTGTTAGAGAATACCTGTTATCATGGGTGTATTTTGCAGAACAGCCCTGTGTTGAGTTTAAATTCATTTGACAAATAAATCTCACCTCACGCCTGACTCAGTAGCTGTTCGGGAGCTTCTCAGCATATTGTAAGCCCAGTTGTCATGAGAAACAAAAAATGTCCATGCTGAGTGCTCTTCGTGTTTAACTAGGCTAATGATCACTAATCACTTTAATTTAAATCATTAATTCCTTTATTATTTTAATTTGTGTTGTCATTTATTTTATTTATTTTTTATTTTTTTTGGGGGGGGTCTTGAGGTAGATATGTGCTGTGTGCCCTATGTAGTTTATTGTTATTTAATCTAATTTTACAATTTATTTCAGTATTCAGTTTAATTTAATATGTCCAAGGATGGTAATTTTTTCTTTTTACTCTGCGTAACATAGTCCCAAATGGGGTATATTTTAATATAATCAACTTGGTATTATATTATATTCCAGCATCAAAACTAATTGGTTGAACTGCTAGTGAAACCACTTTAGGGAAGCCCTCTGATTCTATTATTCAAACAATAGATACAAAGCCTACAATATACTAGATTCATTCAGAATATAAACCCAATTTTTATATAGACATACTTTTATTTTGAAATGTCTCGCCGGAAACCGTATTCCCTCCTCTTTCTCGCTTGACTAGCAGTCGCGTCTCTCCACCGTGCGCCCACACCCAACCTGCACTGTCTGGCGTATAGAGAGGCAGCCCTGCAGTGTATGCGGGACATTGTCCTCTCAGTGCGGCTGTGTCGGGAGATCTGTGCGGCCTCAGCAGCCAGGGACCACCGGGCTCTCTGCAACACTCCCGCGCTCACATTTGCCTGCATTCATCCCGCCGGCTGCCGCTGAGGCTGGTGCGCTCTGCGGCTGCTGGCACCATCCATGTACTGTCACTGTGGATAGTGGCTTATTTACTGTGCAGCATCTGACTGGAGAAAGCATCTGACTGGCACCATGAGCAGCACTGGTAAGAGCATTTATTGTAGGTCGCACTGGTTTTCCTCTTGCACTGGCCCCGTTCCTGTTAATAGGCTGAGGAGCAATAACATACTTTAAATATTCCTATGGGGCTTCCTATGGCGCTCTGTTGGTCAATACTGAGTCTGCGTTTGCTCTGTCCTCATTTACACACTTTTTTATCTGCTTTGACAGCACAATAACATTCCTACGCATTTAGAATGAGCTGCAATAGAGAAGTACTATAAATCTCTATCTGCCAATGAAGGCAGCAGCACCAGGGTGCACCCACATATGGGATTCTTCAGTCAACACTGAGGTTGTCTGATGTTAGGACACAGTCTCAGATTTGTCTCTGTGGAAATGAATGTCATGTGGGCTAATTAGACGGGATATAGGAACGCCCACAGTGGGTTTGGTGGCTCTTTTCATCATGCTGCTCTGCAGTCTCTCCTGCTGTCTACAGCAGGCCCGACTCCTGTCACACCTGGCTTTGTCCCTGAGGAGGATCCAGTGATTGTAACACGAGGCTGCTCTTCATTTGTGTACGGTCTAACCCTGCAGCAACACTGCACTGTTTGTTTTACCTATGCAAATACATGTATGTAATGCTTCAGCCAATGTAGAACAAGAGTTCCACTTTTTCAAGGACCCTTAGGGGCAGAGGTGTTGTGCTATTTGTTTAGTGCACGGTTAAGATGTGGCTCGTTTCAAAGGTTATGTAACTCTTCCTGCAGTGGCAAGTTTACATACATTCATCCTATAACTGACCATGACCAAATGTTACACTGACTGAGCAGTTTCATCATGTTGAGAATATGATACTGCAGTCATTTAACAATATATAGGCCAATGAATACAAGTATTTTGTGTTTTGAATGGCCGAGCAAATGGAGCCGCATTTGAAACATCCAGTCTGAGGAAAGGTAGTAGTGCAGGCAGAGGTCACTCATCTGTTAGGCTCAGCCACTGCTTCTCAGCCTATAGCACACATACCACTGGTGCTACGCAAGCTGCCTGGTACACTCTTACAGTTACGATGTATCTATTGTGGCCAGAAAAACAAGAGATGTCAACCAACTGGTGGCAGAATGGCTCCAAATTAA